CTGTGGAAATCAATATGGAGATACCTCGAAGAACTAGGACTGAAAGTTCTATTTCACCCAGCTATTCCCCTGCTGGGTATCTTTCCCCAAAGAATTAAAAGAATCATACCACAGTGATATATGTGCACCCATGTTCATAGCACCACAGTTTGTGATAGCTAAAACTTGGAAACACCCCAAATACCCATCAACTGGCGACTGGATAAAGCAAATGTGTTTTTTAAAAAATTAAATGGATTCCTACTCAGCCATTCTGTTTTAAAAATTAATTTTATTGGTACATTTTAGGTATACAATATAATGAACTTCATCATTGGAAATTTGCATCTTTACATAATCTCTCTTGGTTCTTATTTTTTCCCCATTCCCCTGCCCTCCCTCAACCCCTCCATCCTTCCCTATTTGCAAAACAAACTACCACAAGCTTGGTGGCTTGCAACAACGGGTATTCATTCTCTCACAATTCTGGTGAGTAAAAGTCCGAAATCAAGTTATCAGCAAGGTTGTGTTCCCTCTGAAACCTATTGGGGAAGATCTTTCCATGCCTCTTCCTACCTTCTGGTAATTCCAGGTAACCCTTGGTCTTCCTTGGATTATAGATGCATCTCTCCAATGTCTGCCTTTGTTTTCATGTGAATATGGAAGAACAGATACTTCCTCCACTTCCCCTTCCCTCTTCCTGTCCTCTCCTTCTGAAATGGGATCTTACTATGTTGCCCAGGCTGTCCTCATATTCCTGAGCTTAAGCAATCTGCCTGCCTCAGTCTCCTGAGTAGCTGAGACTATATTTGTGTACACCACACCTGGCTTCTGTTTTCACATGAATATCTCCCCTATATAGTAGTCCCCAAACTTTGTAGTTAGCACCAGGGACTGGATTTTTGGAATACAAACTTTTTTAGGTGAGTAGGGATTGGGGTGCATGGTGGGTTCAGAACAGTTCAAAGAATTAGCAAATTTGATCCCTCACATGGGAAGTTCACAGTAGGGTTCACACTTAAATGAGAATCTAATGCGTCTGCTGACCTGACAAAAGGCGGAGCTCAGGTGGCAAAACAACAAATGGGGAGCAGCTGGAAATATGAGTGAAGCTTCACTAGCCTGCCTTTCACCTCCTGCTGTGAGGTCTGTTTCCTAACAGCCCACTAATGTTACCAGCCCAAGGATTGGGGTGTCTTGCCCCTGTGTATCTTTCTGTGTATTTTCTCTTCTCATAAGGTCCACCCTAGTGACCTCCTCTTATCTTGGTTACATCTGTAAAGATCTGATTTCCAAATAAGGTCATATTTACTGGGTATTAGAATGACAGTACATCTTTCTGAGGGACACAATCCAACTCATAACAGCACATGTACTTGGCATATGGCAGAGTAGTCATTTCTTTAAACTGCTTTCCCTAGACTAAGTTCTTTGAGAACAGAACTGTCTTATTCACCACTGTATCTATTGGGCCAAAGACAGAAGTTGCCACATTACACATGCTCAGAGAATATTTGAATCAATGAACTCTCTGAAATCCCAAATTCTTGGTTTCACTCTTCTTTCCAACCTCTATCTCTTTTCTCCTTCAAAGCCCCTAGTTGTCCTTTGGAATTCTGCACCTTGCTCTGCAGTCACCATATTTTACTGAACTAGCTCTGGCCTTTTATTGATAGTTGTTATTACCTTCTCTTCTCTTATCTTTACCACCACCTTAACTCAGTACACTATCCTATGTTCCCTGGACTACAATGGAGCCCTTTGAAAAGTTTCTCCAACATCCTCTACCAGCTACTTCCCCAAACATTTTTCATACTGCAACTTGAGTGATGGTATTACTATGAACATTCATTTGGCATTCTATTACTTAAAATCCACTTTCTTACCATGTGTGAGATAAATTCCAAAGTTTGAATATGGCTTCTAATTCTATTGATGCTTTGTTCCCGGTCTCTCTTTTCACCACATCTCAACCACCCTCCTTCTTGCTCTTTATGCATTGGACATAATGTAATTTTCAATATCTCAAGCATAATATACTTTCTGTTGATTTGGACCTTTGGATATGCTATTATTTCAGCCTACAAACCCTTCCTAAATACAGATCTTTTACATCTTTTCCAAAACCTCTCTTCCTCTAGGAATTTTTCATGACTACTTCCTCCTAGGTTTGATTAGATCCCTCTGTATCAGTGTCCCAGAATAGGTTCTCAGGGAACCACACATTTCTCTTTTTGTAAATCTCATTATTCTTACACTGTTTGTGAAATGTCTGTTTTCCCTGTCACAGAGTAAACCAACCAGGGCAGAGACAGTATCTATTTTGTTCACCTCTATCATGAACATTTATTGACTAATACATGTTGCTCAACACATTTTTGCTTGAAGAATGGATGTATTGATCAACTGCTAATTCTTTTTGTTTTCAGATTTGATTTTAATTTTGGGAAGCCTACTTGGGACCCATGGTCTTTAGAAATCAGAGTATGTGTCTCTTTTCTTACTTGACTCCTCTTAGTTCTTGGCCTCTGTGGACTTTCCCTTGGCCTGGAGGAAAAAGTCTATAGTGGTTATGGTTGGGGGAAGCTTTGTTAGAAGACAGAACTTTTGTATTGCTAGGGTGAGGAAGGGGAAATCTGTACCAAATTTCCAGTGTTGAAACAAGGTGCAGAAAGGAAGCCATGTTAATTTGTCTAGGTTGCCTCTCTCATCACCATTCCTTTTAAATAAATAAATAAATGTATTTATATATTTATACTAAGGATTGAACCCAGAACCTTCACACTGAGCTACTTCTCCTGCACCCCTTTACATTTTTAAAAATTTATAATATTTTGAGAGAGGGTCTTGCTAAGTCACTAAATTACCAAGGCTGGCTCCAAATTGCAATCCTCCTGCCTCAGCTTCCCAGTGTTGGGATTACAAGGGTGATGAGATGAGGGAAATAAGATAGGAGATAAAGAATATTACCAGTGGAGGAAGAAAACACAACTAGAGAGACATGCTCTGACTATTTATTGCCTCCTCTAGATGTCCTTAGAATGTTTCTTTCAAATGCTTGCTATTTTTTCTTAAAATGAAGGTACGTAAGTGTATAGAATTAACAATTTCCCTTAATACTATATTGTTATAATTTGGGTCTAGATGTCCCCCCAGAGCCTCATGTGGTCATAGGACTGACTTAGAGTATGTGAAGCTGGAATTGATTCATGATGCAATGCTAGGCTCAAGGGTGTGAGTGCTATCTACCCTAAGTAGTCTGAATAAGATAAAAGGGGCAGAGAGCCACTGTTAACTTCCCTCTCTTGTTATCTTTGCTGCCTTTTGGCACCATATTATTTCTCCTTTCCAGTGCCTATTTGCCATCCCTGCCTTGGAGCTATCTGATTATGGACTGAAACTCTACAAACTATAAGCCAAATAAACCCCTTCCCTTCCAACTTTTGGTGTCAGGTATTTTGTCTCAGCAATGAGAGAAAAGTAATGAACACATATATGGTCCCAAGAAATGACACATCTTCTATTTGATTACCTAAGTATACTTTCTTCATTAAATATATTTTTTTAAGACCTACTTTGTTCAGCGTCTGGGCCATGAGTCTAGAAGGCAAACATGGATACACTAGAGTCTTCTTTCTTGAGGAACCCACTTGTTGGCTGGAAAGAAAAATCCATTAATTTTAAGATGTGACACATTGTGCTAGATACTGTGATATATAGGTATGTGCAGAGTTTGAGGAACCCAGAGGAGGCAGGCATAACTTCTCGTTATTATTTGGAAGCTTGCACACTGCTATCTTACATAGTGGTTGTATGATCTCAAAGGCTTTGATTGCATCTTTAAATGTCTCTCTATAATTAAATGTTTTGGGACTTTCTACATTCATTTTTTATTTCCTTGGGAGGTGATGAAACCTAAAAGTTAAGAGGAGACCTGGATGCAGGTAGACTTGGTTTCAAACCTGAGCTCATGCCTGATTTTCTAGCTGCATGACTTGCATAAGTCACTTACTCTCACATCCAGTAGAGTGTGTAAGTATTGAGGTTAATGATATGATGGCTGCAACACATTTAGCATGGCACCTAGAATGTAATAAGTATTCAATTATATCTTTCTTCAGGTGATTATAGGTTTTTTCTTTATTTTTGGTACTGGTGTTAACAAGGAACTTGTTTATATTTAGCTTTGTAAACCACAGTCATAAATGAGATTAAAATAAAAGCAAAGAAAGCCCATTTGGGTGGAGATTGGGAAACATGGGATCAGCTGACAAAAATCAGCTTTTCCATGAAAGAGGCTCTTTATCAAGAGTTGCAAACTGATGCACATAGAGGAAGTTGTAATTGTTATAAGCTCACTAGAATTGCACCTGACCAGGTCAAGAAGCAAAACTAGTCACTCTAGTATTTTTCAAACCTTGAAAGTTATCGTTAGATCCTGAAAAATTGTTCCCTCCAACAGATTCAGTTCCTGTCATGATTCTCTGTAGGCCGTCTCCCTTCATGATTCATGATTCTCTGTAGGCAGTCTCCCTTATATTTCTAAGGCCAGTAAAGGACTTTTGTTCTTTCTCTTTTGACCATTCTGAGGCCATTTTGACTTTTATTTTATCTAGCTTCACATGACACACACAGGCTTAATTGCTGATTTTTTAAAGAATGTGAAGTTTTTTGGTGAAAAGACAGCTTTAGGAAGAAAGTGTTCAAATGGGTAGGGGAACTAGGGAGGGGGACAGGGGAAGGGAAGGAAGGGAAAGGGAAAAATGAGAAAAAAAGAAAAAATGGAACAAAGTTTTTGTAAATAAGGAGAGGAAGAGGGGTTGAAGGGAGGGTAGGGAAATGGGAAAAAAAGAATCAAAATATATCATGTACAGATACAAATTCCCTATGATGAATGTGATCATTATTTATATCTAAAATGCACCAATAAACTTAATTAACTTTAAAAAAAGACAGCTTAATGATTATAAAAAATGCAACACAAGCATTTCTTTTAAAATGTATATAAATTAGCAATTTATTGAGGTAAGCTTATACATTCAGAGAAATGATCTGGCTCTGAAACAGGATATTCAAAACTGCTTAGACTTTTATATTATAATTTCAAAAACATTACATATAACATTTCAAGTGCCACTTAATAAAATTATAAATATCAATCACATATAAATTAACTCAAATTTCACATATTTAAATTATCAATAAATTAAAAATAATTAAAATAGTGTCCTAACACTCATACAGTCAGTTCTTCGTAGAGAACAAGATAAGATACTCAGTGGACAGGACATGTTTTCTGACCATAGGAAGAAATGCCCATGAACTGATCATATTAGATATCTAAGTCCAAGTCTGAACCTGCTTTCCGAATAGGCCTCAGACTATTCTGCAGGAATTCTTCAAGGCTGCACAGAACGATTTGAACTATCAAAAGCTTCTGAGTCTCATTCTGTGACTCCAGCTCCTCCAGCAGGGTGGCATTCGCAGTTGGGCTAGGGAAGACTGTCTGTTCTGTATTGCTTACCTGAAAGGAAAAGAAAACAAAGAGGATTAAACAATCACACACTGAACATATCCTTTGTGGTGGAGGAATGTTCTGTTCTGTGGGAAGATGTTTAAATTTGAGGTGAATGACACTAACTGGGGTCACCAGCCCTGACTCACCCGGGTTGCAGGAGGTGTTTTGCTCTAAGCCCACCCTGAGAAAGACTGTTTCACAGTGACTGATTTGTAACCATCCCTTTGCTGCTGTTTCCCATTAGATGGTAAACATCCAGAGGGCAGAGCCACTACCTTATTTGTCTTCCCTCCTGTTATCCAAAGCAGTATGAACAGTTGTTATTTAATAGATGAATGAAGAACTCATAGCTAAAGGCAATTTAATGGATTCTAAGTCTAGTACTTTCCTCCAGTTTTCCTCTCTATCCATTCAGTACTTGTTGAGTCCACTGATCCGGTGATGACTGGAAACACCTTTCTACAGAGCTGCTAATATGGCAATAAGTAGCTTGTGGAAGGCCTTGCACCTCAAAGTATGGCCTTGGAGTACAGTAGTACTGGCATCACTAGGGAGTACCTTAGATATATGAATCTCAGGCCCTACCCTAGACCTGCTAAAGCACACTGCAATGAAACAAGATCCCAGGGGACTCCTGTGCATAGTAAAATATGGTAAGGCCTGTTTTTGTTTTTGTTTTGGTACTGTAGATCGAAGGTGGGACTTTGGGCCTTCCAGGCAGGTGGTGGAACCATTGAGCTAAATCCTTGGCCCTGATAAAGCCTGGTTTAAGGCAAACAACTAGAAGTTGCAGAGGCAAAATTAGCACCCAAAGTTTCCTTCCAGGACCCTTTCATTGCACTTTGTTTTGTCCATCCATTCTCTGAGCCAAAACCCTTCCCATTATCTGCCATTTAATAGCTAGCTGGTGGTGGCCAAAGCCCTTTATCCCTCCTTTTCCAGTCCTTAGCCTTTGACCTTTTCTCTACATTAACTCTGGCAACAAGAATGTCACTTTCTAGTGATTAAAATATTAAAATCATTTTTGTGAAATCTGTTGTTTTAGAATGGCTCACTGAGTGGGGTTAAATATGCTTCCTTCTATCACAGACTTTTCCTATCTCTTAAGATATTAGAAATTGATGTTTAAATCCATGTAGTTTAATACAGTAATTTTTTTTTTTTTGGTACCGGGGATCAAACTTGGGACCCTGTGCTTACAAGGCAAGCATCGGAATCACTGAGCTAAATCCCTGGCCCTAATATAGTATTTTAAATCCAGTTATCAACGGTCTTTGCAGAAGAGAGCCAAAAAAAATGTTTAACTATAAGGAAGCAGTTTTCAGACCCTCTCATTAGAATGTAGCCATCTTTGTCAAAGCAGCATTGCATCCCTGAGTTGTCAGGTGCTTTCCTTAAGCTTCTCTTCTCCTTTCCCTGTGAGAGATGAGGAGCACTCACCTTAGCTTTCATGAACAGACTCAAGCTTTTGACACTAGTGTATATTTTTTCAGCTTTTTCATTTTCAGAGTCACTCTGAAGCTTGTTCTGCATGTACTGCAGGTAGATCTGGAACTTCAGAAGACCAGTGATGATTTTCAAGTGGCATGTTTCCTATGAAAAGAGATGGTAGGGGAATTGGTTACTGCTAGGAGACAAGAATCAATTTGAAAACTTAAACTTCCTACAGTTCAGCATCTTCTTTCTCTGATCCTCTAGAAAATTAGACATCATCTTTTAGGAAACTGGACAGCATCATCAGCTGTCTTGTTTTAAGTATTTGAATAGTCAGATACCATTACTGACTTTTATCTAAAGCTCTTCCTACACTCCTACCCTTGTCAATGTTGGCTTGAAATCTCCTTTTATGGAATAATCAGAAGTCAGTTCGAGTTATCTCACTGTCCAGAAGGAGAGGTATGTGGAGAATGAACTCAGCAGGGAGGATGGGCCTGGATCCTGCCACTGGTAGCCAAAGAGGAGATTCTTCCCCAATCACCTTACAAAGTTTGAAACAGCTAAACCTGCTGGGATTTCTAACATTTGACATGTGTGAAAAGTTCCAACATGCCAGACCTGGTGGTGCACACCTGTAATCCAATTACTTGGGAGGCTGAGACAGGAGTATTGCCATGAATTCCAGGCCAGCCTGGGCTACACAGTGAGTTGAAGGCCAGCCTGAACTGCATAGTGAGATCGTGTCTCAAAAAAAGAAAAAAAAAAAAAATCCCTAAACACAATGAAAATTCCTGCCTGTTCAAAGATAAACTGCCTTTAAAAAAGGTTAAGTTGGCTTCTTCATGGACTTTGTATAATATTCTTTACATCTATCCCTGTTTTTGTTGCCTTCCTGGGCCTACATATTTGCAGGCACTTCTTGCAAGAGGGAGAATTTGGCTTAAAGTAAATGTGACATGCTCATACCCAGTTGTATCCACCGTAGAAGCATCCATCTTCTATTTTTATCTTTGGGAGGTTCAGGTTGTTTAACATTGCCTTTTCCTCCTCTAGGCAATTGACATTATGTTTGCACGTCTAGGAAAGAATAGCAGAATTGTTATCATTTAAGTGCCCCTAAAACAAACACCACTAGAGGGCCAATTCATGTTCTACTACAGTCAGGAAAGTCTCTTTTAAAAAAAGGAAGTCACAACCTACTGGCATCTTGGCAAGCAAAGTCTAGTGGAATTAGTAGGGTTCAATCCCAGGTTGACCTGGAACTCTAGGCTTGTTCTTTATTCTAAATCTTAGTTTCTTCATTTCCAAATTGAGAAACATTAAACATCTTCCTTGAGTGTTTCTTTAGATATTAGATATACTGTTTATATGTGAAATGCATAGATGGTAGTTGATATTTAATAAGTGATAACAATTTTGATGATAATTTACAGTAAACAGAATTTAAACCATAGGATGTTCCACCTGGAAGGACCTGTAAGATCATCCAGTCTAACTCCATAATTTTACAGATAAGAGTGCAGAAATGGTAGAGAATTTGCCCAAGATCCTTAAGCTTAGTGATGAGAATTCTGGCTCCCAATCCTCTCTCTTTTGTGTTCTTTCTTTCTATCAAACAGAGCCGAAACACTTTGCGTTTAAAGTTGGGAGATGCTTTTACCTACCTATGACTTTGCCTATTTGGTGGGCCCTAAGGTAGTATTTTGGCTAGAATGACCCTGGAGAGTCCTAACCACTAAACTCACATAATCTAAAAGTACTGTAACTTCCCGAGAAGCTGAACATTCATTTTAGTGGCATTTTTCTAATCCTCCCAAATTCCAAGGAACAAAATGAACGTTGGTGGACCTTACTTTTCTGTCAGGGAAAAGGAATCCTTGACCATTCAGTCTAAGTGTGTAGCTAAGAATGGGTGAGGGAAAATGAGTTCCAGCTCCATTCTGTATTTTTCAGAAAGTGAAGAAACCTCCTGACACCATCAGCAAAGAAGAAATACAGAACACAATCTAGTCTAGTCTGTCCCAGAACCCAGCAGAGACCTCCCAACACATGAGCCCCTTGTCCATACTGGGGCAAGGAGAATGAATGTATGCCCACGTGGGGACCTACATCCCCATCACCAAGTTACCCACCTCACTTTTCAGTTCCTGGACATCGTGGAGGACTAGCGTAAACAGTCGAAACGCTTGTGAATTAGAGGTTGTTGGCTTACTTGACGTCGTATCAGCCCTGAAATCTTTCAGAACTTGTGAGGTGGGAGCAGCAGTAACTGTTACCAGGAGCAGCCCCCACAAGGCAAGTGGACGGAAGGTGCCTGTGCCGAAGGGAAGGGAGAGCAGCCAGTGAGCTGACAGCACAGCTGTGAGCCTGCTGTTGGAGCTGGCCAGACGCCAGCCCTCACTCAGCCACACACCTCCCTCACAAGGGAGGAGCACCATCAGCCGGCGCCTCCAGGGCTAGGGATTTCCTTCACTTACTTGTGGAGAGAAACTTCATAGCTGTTCCTGGAGGGCAGATGGAGGGCAAGATGGAGCTAGCTCTGTTTCGTTCCTGGTGGGCTCAGGAGCAGAATGAGCTTCAGACATCCCCTGTCTCATATTTATTGGGAGTTGACACTCTAATTTTGAGACTCATGGGAAAATCCCACATTTGATAAAATCTTTGATGGACGGTGGGGGTGGGGCCAGAGTGGGTGGGGCTGATTGGAAACCTCATTAAGATTGTGCAAAATGTGACGTTGTTTAGCATCGAAAAGAATCACAACTGTGGAAAAAAGTGGCTTAGGTCATCACTGAGGCTGCCCTAAGAATCAGGATCCCTCTTCCTTTACTTTCTTTTTTTTTCTAGTGACTCAGCACTTTAGCATGTCTTGAGAAAGTAAAGCTGAAGTCATGTACAATGTTTTATGAGGAGGGAAAACAGAAGCTAAAACTGGCTGTGATTTTTGAAAAACAATACTTTGATTTCCAGACAGAGATGCTAAGATTTAGTATTCCAACTTTTTCGTATTTTTTAAATACCTAAGATATTTTGCCTTGAGTTTTGCCACATCACACCACAGACCGTTAAGCCCGAGGTCACACAGAAGATATTACTACCAGTCATTACCTTACTTTATTTCCTGGCTCTTGCCATGACCAGCTGTTGCTGAATTACCTGGCTACCCTCAAATCCTATGCAGTCATTTTAGAAGGCTCCATGTGGAGTGTGCTACACATGCATAAATGACACCTTTTTGGTATTAAATCCCCACTGCCAGTTTCCTCCTCACCTGTTTCAACTCGCTTCGGGGAGGTCTACTGCTACCCTGCTCTCCCCCTAGTGGCCTCCTGGGGGATCTCCTGGTAAGGACTTTGATCGCTGTGCCACAGGGTTGTCCCTAGTGTGCCAGAGTCTCTCCACTACTGCCAGCAGTCCTGGGATCCCACTTTCCTGGGCCACTTTGAAGTGCCCAGATGGATGCTGGGCCTCCTGGAGTCCTCAAGTTGCTGAAGCCCACTTGGTTCAGGGTAGGAATGGGGGGAAAAACTACTCACTTCTTTGATGAAGCCATCAGAGAAGACCTTGTGGCATCTTCTCAAAACTCTTGCTGTATGACTGGATTTGAATCCAAAGGTGACAAGAGACTTTAGGCTCTGAATCATGCCTTGTTCTCCAGTGCCCGAGGCTACTTTATTGGGTGGAGCTCAAACACGCCTCTTCTTCTATTAGGGTGACTTCTCTGGAAAGAGAGTCCTTGGCCTCCTAAATATAGACATCAGACCAGGCTGCCCCATGAGTCTGCAGACATCCAAGCATCTCTGGATATGGCTTTAGGCTGAAACTAGAAGCCTTGTATGGCTGTCAGAAAAATTATGTACAAAACACGGTGTTAACATAACAATCAACTTCTTTGCTTTGCAAAGAAGTTCTCTTCAAGTCACTGAAATGATGACTTCTGCTATAGAGTATTTAAAACATGGATTAATTTACTTAAGTTTTGTTTTGTGCATAACATGTCAGTACCCACCTGTTGAAGAAAATGAGGTCATCTACTTTCATGTCTAAACAAGAGGCAGTGTCTTCTGGGTCCTGTGGCCATCATGGGGGTTTTTGGTTTGAAAATGAAAATGAGGAAGGATGGCAGGATGGTTTCACTTTTAGTGCTTTGTGGTCTTTAGCAGCATAGACATGCATGAGCCACCGCATGTCTCTCTCCTGCATCGAACCCACTCGCTGTAAATAGACCTTTGTGGGATGGGATTGCTTTTCCTCAGTTAACTATTTTTTAGAAAATATGACCCGGTAAAGTTCAAGTATTTGAGCTTAGTAATTCAATACAAGATACAGATTTATCTTTTCAATAAAAAGTGTTTTTTAAAATAGAGCACATGTATGTAGGATAAAATGTTTGAACAGGACATCAGGGCATCCAGGGAGAAGTAAGCCTTCCTTTCCTGGCTCCTGACCCCAGAGATAGTGTCTCTTTCATTGTATTTTCAATTAAATCATTTGTTAGCCTAATTTGGGGTTTTCTGAGCTTTCCAGGTACTCATTTCTGTATTTACAGTATGTGTTGATGTCTATACACACACACACACACACACACACACACAATATACACACACAAGTTCTGAGTGGTCTGGATGCCACCATTGCAGCTCTTGGCGGTAGTGTACATGGGTTCTCAGGTCTCACAGTCAAATTGAAAGCCAGCTCTTCCACCTAATAGCTCCTTGACCCTGCCTAAGTTATCCCAAGAATCTGTGCACTATTCATTGACTTCTGCAATAAGAGTGCTTTCCTTATTGGGCTATTGTGAAGATTAAATAAAGATAGTGTTTAAAAATAAGATAGTGTGTAAAAAAAATAATCTCAGCAATGAGCACTAAATCTTTGTAACATTCCTCATCTAGAGCTTCTGCCTTAAGGAACTCTTCTGTTGTTGCTCTGTCCTGGGGTTTTACCTATGCAGTTACTATAAAGAAGCTAGGCCACTGTGCTGATAAGCTGGTCTCCCAATCATTTTCCTTCCCAACAAATGAAATCTTATATTCTGCTGAAAATTCCTTATGATGCACAGTGGAGAATAAAAGAAAATTTCCCCTCTTTTATTGGAGAACATTAAGATAACCAAATGAGGTCCTTTGATTTTTGAAAATTACCCCAATTGTATCTTGCTCCTAGACCTTTTCCAGAGCTTTCTGCCTATCATTTTTCTGTCAGAAGTTCGAAGCTTTCCCTATGCATTGTCATCTTACTACAGTTCCGGAGAGTGGTTCCCAAGCATGAGGGGGACTCACAACACCAGATCTTGTGCTTCTGGCTGCCAGCAAAGGGCTGGTTATGTGGGGATGTGAATGCCTTCTTATGTACTGCCATCATAGATCTTTATTAATATCAATGCCTTGGGTTTTCCTTGTTTTGTTTGTTTGTTTGTTTGTTTTTTGTGGGAGAAAAGGATTCTTACTCCAGAGCATGGATGCAACAACCCTAATTCTACCATGATAGATTTCTTTTTTTATATATCTCAGTGGGTTTTCAGCTTGGAGAACTCATCTCTAGTTACTTTTTTTTTTTTTCTTAGAGCAGTTTGAAGTTCAAAGCAAAATTAAGAGGAAGGTAGGAAGATTCCCCAAATACTCACTGCCCCCAAATCTCTCCTACAGTTTAATATATATGCATGATTAGGAAAGGCTGCAGTATCAGTGTTTATAAATTAATACTTTAGTTGCTGGGTTGTACCATTGTTGATTTGAAATAAGTGCCCCCTGAGACCAAGAGAGGAAGGGCAAATACTCCATTTGCTCTTTGGCTATATTCTGGAGGTTGAAAATGGGTGGGTCTATGATTCAGCAGGAGGGAGAGTATCCCAAGGAATTAAGGGAAGTCTCTGGGGGAACTTGCAGTTGTTGATAGAATGCAGATTCCCTTGTCACCAAGGCAGAAGAAATTCAAAAACTGAAACAGTGGGTGATTTAATGGCTTCTTCTGAGATAGAATCCCACTGAGCAAATCCTAGGCCTAAAGGCTGTGGGAAATGCCTTGCTTTCAGAAAAGTGTTGTTAGTATGTGAGGATAGAATATTAGGGACATATAGCATGCCTATTTAGAAAGTGTTAACTGAGCTTGAGGGGTAGCCAGGCCCAGTTACCAAAGTTCTTGACAGTTGCCAGCCTGGTCCAACCCTAATTCTGACCTCATATCGTTCTGTTGTAGCTCCTGGCTACTTCTTGGTCTGGCCTCAGCTTCTCAGAGACAATGGGTGCAGTGGGGATGGATCAGCTCCCTAAAGGTCAAGGAAGGGGCACACCTGCCCTGCTGTGTTTCATCTATTCTGTGGCCTCATTGTTTTGCTATGTAATAAGTTACCTTCCTTCTCCCAAAGTGGAAAATTCCAAGCATCTCAGGAGGGAAGTGATCTCCCTTGGGACAATAGTGTAGTCTCCCTGCCTTGGTATTCTCTTGTACCCCCTTCCACTTGTTCTCCTGGCCTGGATGGAAAAGGGTGCTGGAAATGAAGTTGTTGATAAACCAGCTGCTGGAATGCTGATTTGGTGATAAGAATTTGCTTTGTGTCCTGAAGGAGCTCCCAGGGCATGGGAAATACCTCAGACTGAGTTTCTGAGTTTTGTCTCTTCTCCATCTGTGGTATCAGCTTTCTGTATTGCTGGCTCCTAGTTCTGCTTTACAATTAGGAAGCTTCAGCTCAGAGCAATCAGTTAATTATTCTCAGTAGTCAATTTGAACGATCTTGGGTTTCTAAAGAGTTTCTAAAGAGTTAGTTCTCTGAGTTCAGTGTCATAGGCAGAAACTAAGCATGCAAAGTATTGGCTGTTTTCTCTACTCTTTTCCCTTAAAATTAAGGTACTAAGAATCCCTTTGAAAGTATCACATGTAATGGAGAGACCAGAGGATTCTGCTGGCCTGGATATGATGCATTTTTGCCTCCTTTCTCTGCTCTTTTGGCTAGTTGTTTGCTGAAAAGACTATCTTAGTTCCTCTCAATAAACCTCATTGTATGTTTTTAGCAAGCTGAATTCATCAAGGTAGTCTTTGTAGCAGAAAAACTTCCATAAAATGCTTTGGACATGTTGAACAGTCTGTACTTTTGAGACACTGGGTTTTATTATTCCTGAAGAAAGGTCCACCTGGATTGATTTAAAATTTTTCAGAAGAATTCAGGTCCAGGTAAGCTGGTCAAAGAATCATATGTGACTTCTTCAAGTTACTAGATTCTGTGTGTGTGTGTGTGTGTGTGTGTGTGTGTATCTGTGTGTGTGTGTAATAGAACAGTGTTCTTTGCCCTACCATGGACACAGCTCCAAGGGTTGCTACTCACTTCGTGTTTGGGAGGTCTTGTAAATCTGGGTAACTGGAAAGCCGGGGCTGGCTGGCTGGCTGGCTGCTGTGCTGCTGGGTCTCCACAGTAGTCTATGTCTGGACTGCACTATTGTGTGCCCTGAGGGATTTTTCTGTGTCTTTAGAACAGTCAGGTTCTCTTAATAAAGAAGCTGTCATATATACTTCTTCTCTGTATTTAGTTTGTTCACTGTGGGTCCAGTGAAGATAACACATACATAGTCGGGGGCAGTGTAGGCTCAGAAGTAGACTTAGATCCAGGGCTGTTTCTGTCTCAAGATGTATGGCCACTGTATTAGTCAGGCTTTTGAAGGCCCCAGTGGTCTTATTGACTTGATGTGCAGCATTCAGAAGAAGGTTAGGGTTCCATATGTTGCCAGCAAAAAGTTTTGGCTAAATGTAGGATTTCCCTGAAGTAGGCTTGTCCTTTTAAGCATTGCCAAATCCCTGGTTTCTTATATTTTATGAGTATATCTTATAAAATTGGCAGATATGAGTCTTGAGATGATGACTAACTGGAGGCTTTGGGGCAGGGTACTGTCCTGTCTCAGGGCATAGACTAGGGAGATCTTGTCTAAATTCTTTCCTAGCTCCAGCATTCTATTGATGGTCTGTGATTACTTGGATCTTTACTAGCCATGCTTGGAAACCCAGAACCTACACTTAATGGAGATATAGAAGTCTCTAAATTAGAAAAATATTTCTTAAAACTCCAAAAGTCTGATGCTGTATTTTAGTTCCCATACAAGGAGCAGTTAGTAGATCTGTTCTGGTGGCTGGGGTGCTGTCCATTTTGACATGGCCACAATCTTGGTGGTCTCAGGTAGATTAAGCAGATTCAAGAGAGGCAGAACAATGTCTGTTTTGGGACATATGAATGCAAGGAATTGGCAGATTTTTTACTTATTGTACAAGTAAGAAGAGATAAATATTCAAAAATTAAGTATTTTTAGCTTTAAAATTACACAAGTAATAGTCTCTTAAGTTAGAAAACTAAGAAAATAGGCAAAAAGGAAACAAAATTGAAAAATAACCTTATCAATTGTAATGATTGTTATCATTATGGGATAATCATTTCAGTAATTATTAATTCATACATATACATATGCAACACTAGTGTTTCAAAACTACAAAGCATTTGAAAAACTATTTTTGGTTATATTTCTTTGTATGGATAACATCTTGGGTGACTCCCTGAGTAGATGCAATGTAAACATTTCTATAGACCAGCTAGTCAGAGTTCAGAAGGGAAACATCAAGTAAGGTTACAGCTGACTCCTATATATGCACAGTATTCACTTCGTAAGGCGGGAAGAGTTTATAACAGTGGGGATAAAAGGTATTTAAAAGAATCTCTGGGGTTCCTAGGGAGGTTTAACTTACTAGTTGTTCATGCAGAAACTATAATCTCTAAATCAGTAAGTGGTGTTG